TAAAAGAAATTTTACTCATAATCAAAATTTGATTATGAATATTTTGAACATTGACAACATATATATAATTGGAACAAGTCACATTTAACAATTTTTTACTCTACATATTCGTACCGAAGATGTGTATCTCGTCTAGTCGTTACTGAAAAATAAAACTCTTTTCAAAAAATCTGCAAATAGATGCCAGAAAATTAGTTGGATACGAAAATGTGGACGATAAAAAGAGACTATTGAGATTGAATATTTGCTTAAGTGTGTTTAATAGACATTTATTCAAATTTTACTTTTTAGATTCAAAAAAAAATGCACTGAAACAAAAGTAACTACCTAATAATTCTGACTATATTTTTTTTTGGATTTACTAATCAGACTTCTGTCTCACAGAGATTGCTCATATTCAATCTTAATCTATTTTCTAATCAAATTTGTATAAATGTAAAGCTGAACCTAAATTTAATTAGATTAAGTTTGTTATCAGAATCATTTTTTGATCAATAAAAATAAGTATCAAGATCAGATAATGCAATCTCGTCTGTTAACTTTCATGAGTTCGAATTTAAGCGTTCTCAGAGTGAGACTATATCTAATTGTCATGTTTACAAATATGAGATGAAGCCGATTTAGTGAAAAATTTCATCATCATAGAATTTAAAATAATTGTCGAGGAGTGTTGATTAAAAGCGAATATAAACATCATGGTCATTATTTATTCCAGAAGCTGATATATCAATAGATGGTGCTACCTCTATTGTTTTCTATTCTAGTCACGGGTAAGATAGTATCCTCTGTCGATGTTTCGATCGTACACAATAAGGCTTGATAGTACATAAACTATTGGATAGAAAATTTTAAAAAAATTGATATGATTAGCAAAACAATGCTTATTCTAGAAGATTTTGTTAATTTACCGATAATAAAGTGTTGTTCGTTTAATATCATAACCTCTTTGTTTAATTTTTTCTCTTAAATCATCTAATGTTAAACAAGATCGAATAATTTCTGATTGTCTTCTATCATCACTTGCTCCACCAACTTTTACAATTTCTTTAATAATTTGTAATAAATTAGGGCATTGTTCTTCAACACGTGGTCGACCAGCACCACGACGATAAAGTTTTTTTAATTGTGTGTGTAATTCAGGTTTTGTTTCAAATAAATGGTCAACATAGAAAAATATAAAATTAAAAAAAAAAAACTTTTAAATGAAAATAACAACAATAAAAAAAGAATTGTTCATACAATTTGTCTTTTTTAACTCGATATACAATTGAAGATATTTGTTTTGATTGAAGACGTTTTAATTCATAAGCTTTTTTTTTCTATCTTTTATTAATTGTTTTAATTGTCTTCTATTTTCTGGTGTTGATAGACCCATTTGTCCAACTTGTACTAATGTAGCAATATGTGCATTAATAGAAATTAATGCTAGAAAAATACGTTCTTGTGCTGGTGTTTTTTTTTGTTTTACCAATGCTTCAAATGGACAGCCAGTTGCACCTGGTAATTCTTTTGGATATTCATATAGGAATTCTTCTTCGACTGTTCTACGTTTTTTAATAAAATAAGCTTTTTTCCAATTTTTCTTTTACTTTTCTTCATTATTTTCATCATCACCATTGTCGTCATCATTATCTTCGAAATCATCTTCGTCTATACCGTCAAAATTCTCTGATTGTTTATCATCTGTGATATTTTCATTATTATTATTTGTATCATTATCTTCATTTATTGTATCATTAGATTGATCAATTTTAGGTTTTTTTTGGGTTGACAACGATTAGTTTTTGATTGAGTTGAAAAAGAAGGTGATAATGGACGTTCAATACCTTCCCTTGAAGATGCTTCAAATTCATTATATTTAGAAAAATATTCTTCAATTATTTCTTTAACATATTCTTCATTCCATTTTATTTTATTCCATTCAACTTTTGCATCATAATGTTTGTCCTATTTTAAAACACCAAAAAGAATTTCGTTTTGTTTTAATTAATTAAGGAACTTACAGCTCGTTTTTCATTAGGTCGAGCTTTCATATAAGCATCGACAAATGTTCTATAAAGAGTTGGGCCTCGATTCTTTTTCTTTGATTTTGAGGGCATAACGAACAATATCAATCTACTCAGAGAACGCAAATAATGACGCCTACACACAAAATATACATATACATATATATATGTACAGGAGACAGAGAAAAAAAAAATACTACTAAAAGTAGTAAAATAAATTTAATGATGACCTTTTTCTCCATGCTCGCTTAGAGACAGTCACAAATAAGAGTAGTAACCAATACGGGTGATTCCATGGGAATCCTACCATCGTTACAGTGAACACCTTCAAATCACGTCAAATTTATAAGATTTATAGAACTTTTTGTGCTGATCATTTTGGTTATAAAAAAGTTAATACTTGCACTTAAAATGGCTGAGAAAACTTCAAAATACTGTACAAGGGGTTTCATCGAAAAACCCATATTTGCAGATTATAACAATGAATAACTTGATCATTTCTCGGTCTCAATCCATTTGTATTGGAATTTCACTCGTAAAATATTGTAGTCCGTGTGAAAATGCATCAGAC